AGAGAGAGGGAGAGGAAGGTGGGAAAATTGGTAAAGAGGTTGTCTGTGGAGGGTATTTCCATGCTGAGTCCACTCCTCCAGCCAGAGGGGTGAGGCGGGCTCCCTGCCAGCCCACTCCCAGTGTGGGAACCCACCAGGGGATTCTGAACTATGTCCCCTGTAGGGGGGACATGGGGAAAACTGACTCCAGCCTTAGAAAAGCTAAAGCAGGCAGACTGTGAGCTCGGGACTCCTTCCCGCCTGGCATCTGGGGAGAGGAGGCGGTGGCTGGGTGGGTCTGAGGCCAGGGGATGGCACTGTACTGAAGAGGGCTGTCGGGGCAGGCGAAGTGTGAGTATCCCAGGGCTGGCCACGTGGGGCAGCGAGCAGGACTGGGCTGTGCTTAGGCCCTCTCCCAAAGGACCCCCTGAAGCATAAGGCACTTCAGCAGACAGAGGCTGCACACAGGCTGGCTGGATGCCCAGGGGCTGCAAGAGGCCTCGTGAGGAAGCGAAAGAGACTGGTCTGTCTGGAGTCACGGGCATTGTTACAAGGAAAAGGGCCCCGCAGGAAAAAAAATTCTGTTGTCTGTGTTTGGGACCTAAATGGATTCTTAGAACTGTCCTTTATCTAAGAGTAAGCAGAAATTCTTGCTGGAATTTTCGGCCGAGGGCTGGGGGAATGTTACGGCCACTCAACACAGTTGTGGCCATGCAGCAACCAGAGAGAGGTGTCTGAATACATCACAAATGATATTTGCTCAACATATCAGATGCACTCCACGTCCCCCAAGGATCAGAGTTGATAGGAAGTTAGCAGAGGAAGCTTCTCAGAGGAATCCCATACTACAGTTCATTTCAACTGGCTGAGTTTTAGCAATAATTCATATGAACTGCTTCCTTCCGTAAAACCTGAAGACAGGTCTTCTTCTGGCCAAACCCCTTGCGCCATGTGCTCCTCTGTGTACTGGGGCAGGTCTGAGCCATCTTGAGTCTGTCTTCCAGGTGTCTTTCTGCCCCCAGCTCCCTCCACTCTCCACTCCACCCCATAGGCTGACAGTTGGGTCCTTCTAGTTTGAGGAAAAGAATGGCAAATGGGTAATGATCTAGAGGCACCACTAGATGGTTGAGTAGTGATTCAGTACAGGAAATGGATGGCGGCATCAACAGCTTCCTTGGGAAACAAAGGGAAGGTTTCTGGCCCTCCTGAGAGGACTCAGAGCTGCACTGAATGTCTTAGGAAGGGGTGATAGTCTTCTCTTTTGTATCTTTCTCTAGCTCCTTTCTGGAGTCTCCAAACACCTGGGGCTGTTTGTTTAGCTGTGTTTTCCTTTGATCCCAAGGGACTTTTCCCCCTGCTGAAGCAAGTCCAACAACAGCAGCCTGGGCTTGGGGAATCAGAAGGCAAAGTATGCATTTGGTGCAATCAGGCAGGCAAATCAAGACTGGCTAGTGACGTCTGGAAAGTCGAACAAATGACCCCTTGCACTAACTAAGGTGCAGGAGAAACACTGCGATTTGGGACTGCCACGTGAGCTCATACAAGGTGGAAAGTCAGAAACGTTAAAGGTATGCACAGAGAACGTCTTTCTCTCAAATGTCAGACTTGAAACAAGTTTGGATTTCCTCTGCTGTGTCAATGCTTTTGTTTCTTTTCCTGGGAGCTGAAGATGATCCTTTAATGCCAGATTTTCCCATGTTCACTCTAACGGCAATCTGTTCCACCACCACCCCAACCCCCCGAGCGCTGAGATGACTTTTACATGCATTTGGTCAACACACACAACAGTCTTTGCCAGGAAAGGAAGGCTAGAGATAGGCATGAGTGAGAAATCAAGTAGGAGCTACACACATTATGGAACTTTCAGAGGTTTAGAGAAATGGAGAAAAAGAGTAAATAAATAATATGAGAAGGCAGTGAGCAACTGTGTCCATTTTCTCCCTTAGTTCACCTTTGAGCATAGAGTAGTTAAGCATGGGCCTCTGGGCCAGAGACGCCTCTGAATTCCAGCTCTACTTGTCCTTGGGCCAGTACTTTAATCTCTCTGTACCTCCATTTCTGCATCAGTAAAATGAGGGTAAAAGTAATATTTACCATAGAGTTGTTGTGAGCTAATATAGTAAATGGCTTTAAAGGGTGCCTGGTGCGTAGTTGGTGTTATATATTTGTTAGCTACTGTTATTTCCTCATTTTCTAGTAACTTCTTGAGTCTGTAGAGATGTGAGGTGGGAAAAGATAATATGAAGAAAAGTCAGGTCCAATCTCCAATGGGCTATTTATTTGTGATTTGTAGCAATATTGTATCCCAACTACACTTATTTCTCCATCCACATTTTTTTTTTAAGATAGCATTAGAGAGTTGGTTTTAATAATGTTGATAAGAACTTGAATTTTTTCACCCATTTATTCATGCATCTGTGATTGTTCATTTATTGATTATTTATTTGAGTTAGGGCACAAGGCAATTTACAAGCCTGTAGAGAGCACAGAATTTTCCCCTTAAGGAATCTACAGTCATTTGGTTAATGGTATAAATCATTAACATATCATCAGAATGAGATTGGACTGTTTATGTTTGGAATATTCCGTTAAATCCCTATAAATAAAACATATCACAAATAAATGGTCTAGGAAAAACATTTTGTGAAAAAGTTCAGTTTCTGTACTATAAGACTGCTATCTCTAGCCATATGGATATATATCATCAGTCTTTAGACTACAGATGTGATCACATACCTTTTGTCTTTACCAACACCTTCCTTCGAAATTACCTGGCATTCTTCCTTCTGTTGTGAACAGAAGCTCCCTGCTTCAAGCTTAGATCCAACACTTGCACCTCAGGTCATTCAATCAACATCTACTGAATGCCTCCTATGACCTAAACACTCAGAGTCTATTTTAGGCAAAAGCTGTTTATGGATTATAAATTGTATGGACACCAACCACAATTTTCAACTTCATTTTTGGATGTCTTTTAACTCACATATGCCTTTTCATTTGCCGTCTGGGCTTTACTGAGATATATGAAGTATGTAATCACTTTTCAAAGTAAGGAATTTAACAGAGGACACATTTTCTCCTAAATATTAAAAAATCATTTCATTGCAAGGAAAATAATGCATTTTTGACTTGGTTCTTCTCATGGGCTCAAAAAAGGTTCATGTGTTCAAGCTTTTTGAACTGCTAGTAAAATTTTATCACACCTTCCAATATACTTCACATGGGCCACTAGTGATATAACTGATGGTAACTGAAGATGTCCAATAACTGGAAATATTATGGGACAATCTTGTACTCTGAAAAGAGAACTTATTTTTGGTCTGAATCAGCCACTTACTCCTCTGGGCCACAATTTTCTCATGGTAAAAATGAGAAGTTTATCATGGTTAAAATCAAATGAACTTCAAGGTCCTTCCATCCCTAAATTACTAGGATTCTAAATGTGTCTTCTCCTATGGGACTACTAGCCACATGTGGCTCCTGAACACGTGGAGCATGGCTAGTGCAACTGAGATGCACTGGAGGTGTAAAATACTCACCAGATTTTGAGTTAGTACAAAAATGTAAAATACTTTGGATTTATTGGGTGAGTTAAAAATATTGTTAAGATGAACTTCACTTATTTTTTTTTAGTGTGGCTATAGAGAACTTAAAACTGCTTTTGCGGGTTGCATTGTTAATAGTAGACAACACCTCTCTAAACCTTCAAAACAAAGGAAGCAAAACCTATTTTTGAGGACTTTCGATGCTTGATGGTCATCGTTTCAATATTGTGGTCCTTATGCCTCTAAAAGCCAAGTTAAAACACTTATCTACCCCAAACGAATAAATCTTGCATGGCAGATACTTATCACCAAGTTCCTCTTGAAGATGCTTTCTGTCCAGGGCCTGTGAAAGTCCTATGATTACAATACTCAACGGTCGGCCCCTGTGGCATTGCTTCAACTAGATCATAACAGATTATCAGGAAATACACCAAAATGTTAAGAGTGATTATTTCTGGGTAATGGGTTACTGAATGATTTTTGAATTTGTAAAATTCTTTTCTTCATCCTTCAATCTTTTAACACTGAGGACCATTACGTTTCTTCATTAGAAAAATGCGTATCTTTAAATTTCAGCATGAATGATTTTACAAATTGTATAAACATCACAGATATGTAAGAAAGAGGCCACTTAAAAGGAAATATCCGAAAATGCTTTAATCTGCTTTTCTATATTTCCAAATTTTCTATGGTGAATCGNAAGGAAATATCCTAAAATGCTTTAATCTGCTTTTCTATATTTCCAAATTTTCTATAGTGAATCAGTTATTTCTATCCAGGGAAACAATACACTTTATTTAAAACTTGCAATATCCACCCACCCTTCTAACCTTCAACCTACGTTAACTTGCAGGCTGGCTTTCTCAGAGCTCCTAGAGCTGTATTAGACTGAGGAATAAATGCTTTAGGTGTTTGCTTCAATCTTGATGCTAATAATGTCTACTTTAATATTTTTATAACTAACATCAAACAGAACAGTATTGAGTTAGAGTCTATGCAGGAGGCAGGGAAGAAACCCCATAGGTATTTGAATATGCCGTGTGCAGAGGGGTTTAGATTGTACTGGGAAAATGCCCATCTAAAGGAGTGTCATTTACGTCTGAGTCCTGTGGCAGCAGGGAGAGCACTGTAAAGTATGTGTGTGTGTGCCCTCAGGGGGGTACACCCCCCCCCCACATGAGTGAGCGGGGTTGTGCCCTACCTTGGTCCCCCAGCATCCCCTCCGGCTGCTTTGTCACCTGCCTCCCGGCCATCCTCAAGGCCGGGCCCACGCCCCGCCTGCTTCGGGCAGCAGTGCGCAGCGCTGGTGCGCGCGCGCGGGCAGGCGTGACAAACCAGGTGTGCTGTCTGCCTGCTGGCCCCGCACAGGGCGGGGCTCTAAGGGCCGGGCAGGTAGCACTGTCTGACCTGGCAATTTCCCCCCAGCTCCCAAGCGCAGCAGCCCTAGAATACAACTCTATCAAGCACAGAACTTACTGTTGGTAGAAAAGATGACTTCTCCCTCCTGCGGGGTGGGGTCCGTATCCTGGACCACCTGCAAGGCTCCCACAGTCCGGACAGCAGGGTCCAAAGTGACTGAGCTTTCATTCACGGTTGTGTCGCTTGCGCCGGTGATCTGGTTGGTGGGCGGGCCTCCCAGGGATCCCTCGTAGTCGGTGGGCAAGTCGTCCATGCAGTCGGCATTGGGCTGACGGGAGCAGGGAAAAATCTATTCTTAGTGCGTGTGTCATTAAGTTAGAGGAGAAATGTCTGCAGCCTAAGTATTTTGTCTTGATGGAAAACCAAGTCCTTTACTGCTTTCTTCCTGAACCATTTTATTTAAAAAATGTCCACATAAAGTTCTGTAATGAACATGAAAACATCTTCCAAAATTTCCTTTCCAAAGGTTCCATTTAGATCTACATACAAGTTTTTAATTCCAGGAGCAGCAATATCCATACATTAATGTAATTACTTAGGGGCAATAACACGATGTTTATTTATGATAGCCCTTCCTTAGAGAGGGTGTTTATCTCTCGTCTAGGAAGCAGCTGAGAGCATGATAATGCTGAAGGCCCATGCATTTTTGCAAATATTCTGGTGACAGGAGAGGGGCATAGAATCTGAACCATTGTGAATTGTTCATCACACACACACACACACACACACACACACACACACACACGAATCTGAACCATTGTGAATTGCTCATCACACACANCACACACACACACACACACACACACACACACGAATCTGAACCATTGTGAATTGTTCATCACACACACACACACACACACTACAAAGTGAGGTTATTTATTGTTGTTAAATGTAAGCCAAAAACCAGCTATCAAAAAAAGCCCTATTTACTTAACATGCAATTGTTCAGACATTTGTCAAATCCTCTAGATGAAGATCTTAGAATCATGACACTAGGGTGAGACCACTGAGTGTAACTACCCAGCATTGCAGGACTCTTACCCCAATATCCACATGAATGACATACATACGGGAGCTCTCTGCTTTTTGAATTTTTGCAAGGCAAAAATTTGCAAGGCAGCCTGTGTTGCTCAGCTTCTCTGGACTGTTCCATTATTGGGCAACGTGGCAAGTTTTATTCTTTGGTCTTACTTCTGCTGTTTGAAGTGGTATTGCATATATTTATATCTCTTCCATAAGCAGCTTTTAAATGACTTTCAGTTGTTATATCTTCACCCAAACTCAGAAAAAAGGTGGTGTTGGAGAGACATGGGCCTGAGAAATACTAAGAATAGCTATTCATTAGTTTTTGGTTTTGCTTTGGTCTGAACATCAACATTGCCTTGAGTGATGATAATTAAATGGTTTTGCATTGCCAATGGATAAAGAACAGAGTGTGCAGGATTAGGTGAGAACTCTGGGTTGACACTGATTATGTTTTGTTTAAAGTTCATTATAAGAGAAAATCCACAGCTCATGGGCTCACTGGGAGCATAATGCAAGATATTCAAAGCACTGAACTCTTGTCCTAGATTTCCACTCTTAAACTAGTCTCTTACCACCACACCTGTGTTTTCAACAGTCAGCTAGAAATCTCCATCACCCCACAAAACCCTCAGCTCATTCCCTATTTTTCTATATTCTCTTTTCTTTTTGCTTCTTTGTCTCTATTGGAAGTGAGTCAACTCATTGAAACTCAAGTTGTTGAAAGTCAATTCACTGAATGACCGATCCACCAAATTCACTGATTGTGACATTGGGCGTGAGCAGTTATGTTGTGAACATTTCTCATCCATTACTGGTCTCATAATCTCCCTATAGTCTCCTTCTCCATACATCCCATTCTCTGCTTTCTCACCAGAGTACTCTTTTTTTAAAAACACAGGTATGATTCTTCTTTTCTCCTAAAGAATGAATTACAATCTTAGTATGGCAAAACAGGCACTCTACAGCCTCCCCAGCCTACTCTTCTGGCCTCACCTCCAGCCTTTGGAAACACACTGAATACCGTATATTCCCTGTCTCAGAGCTTTAGCTCACACTGTTCTTCTACTCAGGGTGACATTTGCCCCAATTATCTGGCCCCCCTTTCCCATTGCAAGGTCTCAAACTAACCCTCCTCGTGAACTCCTAATCATCCCTCAATTCCCAGTCCAAATGTCACCTTTTCTAAGTAGTGTTCCCTCCCAGGTAGTCATCTTCAGCACTATAACACCTTATTCCTACTTCTCCCACGCTGTTATGGTCATTGGTCACTGCGTTAGTCTCACTCTACTAGTCTGCATATTTTTAAAATTCCAGTTTTATTAAGGTATAATTAACACGTAATATTATTTTAGTTTAATGATTTGATATATGTATATATTACCAAATGAGCACCATAATCGCTTTAGTTAACATCCATCACAGCACCTGGTTACATTCTTTTTCTTGTGATGAGAACTTTTAAAAGCTACTCTCTTAGCAACTTTCAAATATACAAAACAGTATTGTTAACTATAGTTACCGTGCTGTACATTTTATCTCCAGAACTTATCTTATAATTGGATGTTTGTACCTTTGACCACCTTCACCTATTTTGCCCACCCCCCACCCCCTGCCTCTGGCAACCACCTGTCTGTTCTCTATTTCTATGAGTTCAGTTTTTTAGGTCCCACATATAAGTGAGACACAAGCTTTTTAAAGTGACTCAACTACACTATATTGCTCTTGAATTCCAAGACTTCACATAGTGACTGACAATTATTAAGTGGTTAGCAAATGTCAGTTTGAAAATTTTATCTGAGTCACAGCTTACTGCTCAGAAAACTTAGTAACATTAGAATCTGCCCTACATTACAGGAGGATTTGAGAAAATACTTTAAAAACAGATTTCTGTGCAAAGGTAAGGTATGCTATTGAAGGGTAGCAGAATATCCTACTGCAAAATATGCAACGTTGGCATAAAGATTATTTTGAGCTGAAATAATTGAGAAGTAGATAAAGAAATGCTCTCTCCCATGTGCCTAAGAGCAGGACATACACTTGCAAAGGTGTGCCCCTCTCTGAACCAGGAAGAGAAGAACATTTTTATCACCAGTGCCTGGGAATCACTCTGAAATGGATCTGCACAAACCAACCTTACTAACAGGACCTTATCCACCCTTAGTTTCCTCCATATATTTACCTCCTCCCAATGCGCTGTTCTAGAAACTCAAAATCCCTTCCTTTGTCTTGCTACTTCTCTAAAATATTATTGCTCTTTTTTAGAAGATGCTATATAAGCTCAAGTTCTAACCACCTCTTTCAGTTGCTCATCACTAATTGTTGCCACGTGTATGCACGATGCATGTGTTAATAAACTTTGGTTTGATCTTCTCTTGTTAATCTTTTATGAGTGTAATTTACAGGCTGCCTGCTGGAGAACCTAGAAAGGTAGGTGGAAAAATAATTTTCCCCTCCTTTACACTATGTAAAGATGCTTCGAAGCAAGACCCACTATGTGGGGTATCAGGGAGGAAAGGTTTCCCAGTGGGAAAATGTGCGGTTGCTCTTTCAGCCGTAAGCAGCTGACTGCAATCATATATGTGATAACAACTGACATGTTTTTCAAAATGTTGTGTTGGCTTGTTGATATTGTTCCTTTATTTCTTTTCCTTATTTAAAAATAGTTTTAAATTAATTTTGATGCAGGGTGTTTGCCTTTACTTTGTTGGACTAGGAGTGGTATTATATCTTTAACAGCAGGGAGAGGAAAGAGGAGAGAATTAGCTCAGTGAGGCTGTTAGCTGCATCAATAATTTGGACTGGATATAACATTTAAGACACCAACCTTACTGAATCTCACAGTTTATATTCACTCCAAATGGTTCATCAAATAGCATATTTCGTAAAGAAATCTAATTTATATCCAAGAGAAATTACAGTTCAATGTTTAGTAAAAGAGGTCAAATACCATCTGTAAGTGAACAAGATATAGGCGTTCAAATTCGGGTTAGCATGGGGAAACTCAGGTAAACCAACCGCCAAACGGCCAGGGCTTTGTGAGGACACCAGCTACGCGGCCTTTGCTGTCAAACAGTCATCCTGTTCATACCTGGATAATCGTCATGGGAGAAGGTGTTTGCTGGGATATGAAAAACCCAGTTTATATGGTACCTTACAGGAGTACTCACTGAAACCTGTGCTCTGTCATCTTACAAATACACACCTAGACCCAACTGGAGAGAAAGGAGGGTGAAGCACTGTAATGTAGATAAAGAGATGAAAACACTCCTGACAATAAAGGACTCCCCCACCCCCTCACCTCTATTCTATTTCTCCTGGCAAAATATAATGAAAAAAGATGCCCACTGTAATGGGAATTTCATGAGTCCTGAGCTGTGCTTTCTTTCTTTAGTTCATTTTAGAGAAACTCACTTACAAAATGAAAATCTTTCTAGCTCTTAGCTTTCCATTTATATTTTTTTGCCTTATAGCACAGGCAGCCACAGGATACTCAGTTAAAAACAACAAAAACGAAAATGAACAAAAAGAGCCCTGCCACCTGCATTTGGACTATCTAGTGGATCAGGGTTACAGACAAGTTGTTGGTGAGTGGCTATTGTTCAAGGGGGATCGGGGTGAGTTTCATACACACGGTTCTGTGACTGGCAGCCTTCAGACTCTGAGGGGCTGCAACCTCACAGACATGTATTGAGCACTTAGCACATGTAAGGGATGAAGAGACGAAGGATTAACAGGCACCAATGATCAGGGAAAGTGACAGGCTCTTTTCAATTTCTCTTGATTAAGAAGAAATGGAGTAGAGGAGTTTAGGAAGACTATAAAACAATTCTATAAGCTGCATAAAAAGAGTTTCAGTTAGGCATAGGAAGTGTTTTCCAGCCGAGAAGGCTGTGAGCCTGGCCAATGACATGGGAAGTTCTAAGAATGGAGTAATAACTTCATCTCTTTGGCCTAATTAGGCCTAGTGCTACCCAACAATGGAAGATGGAGTGGAAACTACACCCAAAAGTCCTCCCAGATCCAGACTTCAGTTCAGTATTGGACAAAAAGAGGGAATCCTCAGGAAGGCACGGAGGGGAGCCATAAGCCTCGGTGCTTCTGAGAAGTAGCATAATCCATGAGCCTTCCTCAACGAGGATGTTCTGTTCTCTGGGGCGAGCTTGGATGCCTGTCACATTCCTGTTCGCCTGGCCTTTAAGAATCCTTGGCAAAATTCAAAAGATGCCACTGATGTTTATTTTTCTGGAAGTCAAGTGTGCTAAGTAAAATCCTATCCAGTCCTGATAGGTATAAACCCTGGCCAGAAGGCCCAACTGCTAAAAGTCACAATGCTATTAGTTTTGTAAATAAGCCAAATGGCCACCCAATAATTCCATTTTAAAAACAATAGCTGTATTCACAACTCATTTACAAGTAGCTTCTGGAGAAGTTCACCTCCCCAGGAAAAGTCTCGAGTCAAATGCTGTTTGGTACAAAATTTGGTTTCATTATTTTAACTAAGGAGCACTGGAATCAACACTTAGGAGCTTTGAAAGTATCCTGAGCAATAGGAAATAGGTCAAGTGATGCGACTGTCTACCTCTAACTGTGAGTACGTATTCTAAAGATGTTGGAGACCAAAGACACACGTAACACGTGCAAGCACACACATGCATACATTTCCCCCTCCCTTGTAAGAACCAGTTACAGCCAGGGATGTGAAAGTGTGAACACTGAGCTGATTTTCTAAGTCACCAGTATCTGGTGGAGATGTTGGGTTTTAACTAATGTTCCATGTTTACAATAATTGCTTTTCACCTTGAATGCATTATGCATTTACAACCCCAGTCTGAAAACTTAATGCACTGCCTTTCAAAGTCTAGCTCAAAGCCAAAGTCACACAAATTGAGTTTTGCCTGGTGTATCAACCATGAAAATTGGGCACATGGCTGGCATAGAGGCTGGTTCAGGGAGAAAATTCAGCCAATGCGTAACCCTCTAATGCTCAGCTGTGCCCTCTCCAACAGAGTCACTCTGATAGTCCTCTGGCATTAAAGAAAACCTTTAATATCTGATCTGATCCTTCCTCCTTCAGTGACATCTTGGGACCATTAACATTCTCTTTATTCTCTGCCATTAGTGTAGTGAGGAATGACAACAGGGAGGCTGCAGCAGGGAGGAGGGGAAGGGGGAGGCCGTTTTCTGCATCCTGTTTGTCCAGCTCCTTTTAGGCAGCGCCTGTGTTTTTCTGACACCTCTCTGTGCAGCCCTTGGCCTGGGTGGCCTGGCTGGCTTCATGCTCTCACACAGCAGCTGCTGCCTCACCAACCACGTCTGTGGGCCTCACTTGCTATGGGCCTGGGAAAGTCTTTCCCTGGAGTGTCAAGCCAGCCAGCTGGTGGGATTCTCTTTGCACTGGTGGGGAGATTCGATTTTATCAAACATGTAGGGGAGGCACCAGCTGGATGGTCACACTAGAATGCAGTGGTTCTAGCTCAGGTTTCCTGCTCATTCAAGGTCTCCACAGAGATCTGAGTTCAGCAGAGGCTCCGAGCCAGCTTCCCAGCAGCTGTCCTCCCTGCCCAGTGTTGGGAAGAGCTTGTTTCCTCTGAAAGCTAGGTGACGGGGGCACAATCAGAAAATGTGGCCTGCAGACCTCTGTGATGATAGCACAGGGGCAATGACCCAAGAGGAAACCAATGTGTCCCGCCTGTGCCCACTCACTGCAGCCTGGAGGAGAAGCCTTGACTCTCAACTAAAATGGACACGGGGAGAAGTCACGATGTTCTCAGGCTGAGAAAAAGTGAGAGGAGAAGTGTTTTCAGACATGGGCATTCCCTTGGGGCCTCATCGGATGACACCACCGCCATGGGGTCGAGGGGACAGAGAAGAGCCAGGCGTGACGTTTTCTCCTTGCTTCGGGGCAATGCAGAAAGACAGACATTACGATGCTGTAGGCTGTGCTGTGCTTACCGGGATCCCTAGGGCTTTAAGAATGTTCATCTTGCACATGGGACAGGTGCGATGGTCTAGGAGCCAGGGGTCAACACAGGACTTGTGGAAAAGATGCCTGCAATGAGAACCATACAGCTTAGAGCGGCGGCAACTGCAGAGACTCCCTAGTAGTCCGCTAGATCCCAGGCACTTGTCCAGGGTCACTCGGCTGCTCAGCGGCAGAGTCAAGACTCAAACCTCCGTCTCCTAACACCTGGGCCGATGTGCTTCCTGTTATCCCTGGTGGTGATGAGGTCAAACGTTGTCTGGATCCCAGGAGTGTCCTGCAGGATTCTAAGTTTCAGAGCACATAGAGAATGTAGAAACAGAGGTGTTTCTCTTTCTCAATAGGAAGAATGTTTACTGGAAAGAACACAAGGGGAGAACCTTGCACAGACCTTTCAGGATAACTCGATAGATGCTATTTTACATAATTCCAGAATTTCTTTTCCCACGGTTGCAAGACAACTGCAAAAATAAAGACTCATTTCCATTAATATTTGGGTTCTGACATAAAGGGCAGAAGAGCTCCTGCAAGCATTTAACAACACAAATGACCTTTTAAGTTGTTATGGCTGCTGGTTGTCGAGTCAGAAGCCAGAGTGAAAGGGGTTGTAACCTTTACTGTTTGTACAGCTGATGTGCTCACTTCACTCCATCCCCAGTGCCAGGTTCTCCGAGCATCCATCTGAGTGGCAGGATAATGGGGGGCATTTGGTAGATGTGGGAGGGCTCCTAACTGAAATTCCTCTCAACTTGGCTCTCAGGAGCCCACTCAGCACTGTTGGAGTCAGGAGCTTGTCTTCTCACTCACAAGACTCCAGACCATGGGCAGAAGCAGCCCAAAGTTCCTGCCTGGGGCAAGAAGAGAGAGAACTATCTGTCTTAAGAGTGAGGGCTTCCTTAGGACATTCCATAATGCCTGACCCTCTCCCCTCAATGGTACCCTACACCTGGGAGCACTTCTGCTCTCTCCTCTCACTTTCCTCTCATGCGAACAGTTCTCACAAAGTTCTTTGTGATAGATGGCTTTAGGCCAAATGCTTAAAAAGGGACCCCAAATTAAAGAAGCATGCAAGAAGGGGTTGCCTTTTAAATTGAACTTGGGAAGTACCCATGTGCCAAGGATGGGATTAGCTATATACAGGATCTGATCAAATTGGTGATTAGAAAAAAGGAGAGAGGCAACTTGGATGTGTCATTGTGTTTGCAGATTACTGCTTAGAATGCCCTGCAGATTTGCTGCTTGGGAGGTATGTATCTCATCCATTCATTCCCTCATCCACACCTTTGTCCAACAAGTAGTGTCTGCCAAGAACTGTGCTCATCACTGGAAGTCGCTATGATAGAGATTTGGCCCCTTCCCTTAGGGAGTATAACAGGAGGGGCAGACATTAATAAAATAATAATATAAATAAACTGCTAATGACGACAGTGCTAAGTACCACATTAGAAGAACAGGAGTTGGGAGGATTATAACAAGGAGAGTTTCCCGATGAAGTGCCAAAGCTAAGAGCGGAGGGCTGCACAGACATCCACATGAAGGGGAGGGGAGAGGAAGGAGGGTATTCTAGGCAGAACCACTGGCTGGACAAAAGCCCTGAGCTGGGCACTGGAGGAAAGTGGTCCCAGCCCAGGGAGGAAGGGGCTGAGGCTGAATAGAGTCCTTTCTGCACAGCCACGCACCCCTCCCCTGCCCCCTAGCAATACCTCCCTCCCTATGTTCAGGCTTTACACTCAGGAAACAAGTTCCTAATCTGAATTTGCTCACCACCTGGTGTTCCTACTGGGAACAAAGTCAAACATCTGGCCCCTTTGACCGTCTCTGGGAGGCAGGCTCTGCAGTGTCTCCTGAACACAGGCTGGAGTCAGAATGAGGGCCGGACCCATCATTAGCTGCTAAAGCTTAAAGAAGTCACTTAATATCTCCAAGTCTCGCCCAACTGGGGTGGCTCAGAGGTTGAGCATCGACCTAGGATCCAGGAGATCGGGGTTCGATTCCTGGTCAGGGCACATGCCCGGGTTGTGGGCTAGGCAGCCGATCAATGACTCTCTCATCATTGATGTTTCTCTCTCTCTCTTCCCCTTCCTTCCTCTCTCTGAAATCAAGAAAGATATGTTTAATAAAAAAAAAAAAAAAAATATCTCCAAGTCTCTTTGTCTCATCTGTAAGATGAGGGTCTGCTACTCACATGGAAAAGATTTCCCTGAGCGTCCATCCACAGAAGTCAGTACTTTTCTCTACCGCCCTAAGTGATTTCTCTCCATGCGCCGGTCGGCCTTATAGCCTCTGTGGTGGTTAGAGTTAGTGTTGTGTGTCACTGGGCCAGGCTATTCAACCAAACACTAATCTAGGGTATTCTGTAGACATGATTAATATCTATAATCAGTCGACTTTAAATAAAGGAGATTATCCCAAATAATCTGGGCTTATTCTAATCATTTGAAAGGTTTTAAGAGCAAAACCTTTTTAAGAGAAGACATTCTGGCTCAAGGAGGCTGCCTTAGCTCCTGCTCAGAGTTTCCAGCCTGTAGGCCTGTCCTGCAGATTTCAGACTTGCCAACCCCTACAATCATGTAACCCAACTCCTTGAAAATGTATAGTGGGATATAGTGGTTCTCTAGAGAACCCTGACTGATGCAATCTCCAAGGAGAATATAAGCTCCAGGAGAGCAAAACCTTTGTCTGTCTGATTGACTGTTGTATCCCGGCATCACGAATAGTTCCTGGCACACAGATGATGCTCGAGAAATATTTGCTGTATAAATGGATATATCAAAGGTCCTGGCGCTCCTCACTGCCTGCACTTGGCCACTGCATCCCGTGGATTCATGCTTCCTAAGTTTCTTTCACATTCATTGCTTTTCTTTTCCCAGTGCCGCTCCCTCATTCACAATCTCATGACCTTTTTTCCCCTCTGTATTATTCCAATAACACCCAAGCTGGTCCCCATGCCACCAGCCTTTCTCTGTTCTCTTCATCCCACTCTTCCTTGCCAGATTTATCTTTTTAAAATAAAGTATGAGTTACGTCACTCCCTTGTTCATTCTGTTCTGTGCTAGGAGCTGGGTACAGAGATGAGTAAGACAAGGTCCCTCCTTCCAAGGCAGTGCCACAGCCCTTCAGAGGTTCCCTGGGAACTAAAATGCCCAGGCCATCAAAAGGCCACACTTCTGCATCCGTTTTTCTGGCTGTTTGATCTTAGGCACCTCTTAGCTCTCCAAGACTCATTCCCTCAGCTCTGAAATTTTATCTTATAGGTATGGAGTTTGCAAATGTGTGTGTGTGTGTGTGTGTGTGTGTGTGCATGAACGAAAGAGAGAATAAACAATGTCCACAAAGCTTAAATCATAAGTCTTGACCCTCCTTAATTGTAAGCGACCACTAGTCTTATCAATACCATTATTGCATCTTGTTTTAGATATTAAGTTTTACTCTGATTTATAATCTTCAGAATGAACTTTCTAACGTTGAAAGCAAGGAACTCGAAATTTTTAAAAATCAAGGGAAGAACCAAAGACAAAAAAAAAGTGCTGAAAGGACCCACAGGATGATCATGCTGATTAACTAACATTTCAGGCACCATATTTCTTGTTAGCCATCAACTACAAAGACTATATCCTTATAATTGGATTGCAAACCAATTTTTCCCTCCCAAATGGAAAGAAAAACAAAAGTCACTCGACTAAATAAATTAATTAAGGAATAGGGGAAGAATCTGGAATTGAGTGAAATGCACCACCAGTTTTAGTAAACATCTCTAAGGCAAAGTCAGTCCCCACTTGTCCTATTTGCGTGAGTCTCAGTGGAGCACTGTCCCTTACCATGTTTTGGCAAAGGCTAGGTGAGGAAGCACAAGCTGGAAATACAACGGGGGTTTCACCAAACTCTCCTCCTTCCTTTTTCACTGAAGGGAAGCAAGAGTTTAGAAATTCTCCAAACACCTAACAAAACATGCTGTGCACAGCTGCATAATGATGCAGAGAGGACTGTGAATAATAAAATAAGGTCTCACATTTCTAGCAGTACTGAAAACCCGGCTCCACCCATTTCCCCATCTACTGATCCTAGTAGTCTGCTGTCTTTCACCTGCACGTGTGAACCTCACCCCAAATGAATGACATTTTTTCTCCACGTGGAGGAGGAAGGGTTGTTCTGGCCTTTCCATCTCATCCCTTTTTGCAGGCTCTTAGACCCTGCCACCTGCCACTGAGATTAGGGTCCCGTGGCTTTCCTTTTAGCACCAGCGCAAGCTGTTTCATTCCCCTGGGTGAAATGGTCACCAAAGAACGTGAGTCATGGAGACCTGAGAATCCATTCTCCCAGATAACATGACCTGCTTAAATAAGACACAGCTAGTGCGCCTATGGTAGCCCAAATGCTTCTTCAGAGCCTCAGAATCTTATTGGCAAAGTTGCCGATGAAATGAGTAAGTTTTTAATTAATAAACAATACCTACTGGTTACTGAATGCCTACTATATCCCAGGCATGTAACATACACTGTTAATTCACAACAGCCCTATAAGGTAAAACTTATTATTCCTGTTTTATGGAGAAGGAAGCTGAAGCCCATTAAAGTAAATTAAATTACCCCAAGAGCTAGTAGGCTGCAGAGCTAGGACTCAAACCCAGGCCCAGCCCAGGCCCACAGCTGGTGTTTTTGCCCAACTCCTCACTCCACTGCCCTTCTCCCTTCTGCCCCCAATAAACTGTCATGGGCAGGTGTGGAGGAGTTGGAGAAATTCAAAGTTTTATTCTTTCCAAATGTATTTTTGTGCTCCAGCTTAAAGGAGGCAGTATCTCAGTTATAGAGATTGAGGATCAGGCAAAACCAAAGGGAAAGGTGATCGCCTTTATAGGGAGTTCACTTGGCTACAGACGGGAAAGCTGTCAGATCTTGGCCTCCTCGGGCCTACCCTTAGATACCAGGCTGCTGGATTCACAAATGAAGAGGGTAACATGGGCCTCTCAGCTCTGTGCTCTCCATTCTCCGCTGAACAAGGGACCTGAGAAATGAGGAGTTGACAGCCCAACACCTTTCAAACAAATTTTCAAATTTGGATCATGAAGTGCC